ACGGGGTTTCACCATGTTGACCAGGATGGTCTCGATCTCTTGACCTTGTGATCCACCCGCCTTGGCCTCCCAAAGTGCTGGGATTACAGGCTTGAGCCACCGCGCCCGGCCCAGTTTTTTTGTTTTTTGCTATAAAATATATTATTGGGACAAACAGCAAGGTCTGAACAAGGTCTGCAGATGAGTAATGGCGTCATTAAAACAGGAAATTGACACTGAAATAATTACGATGCCGTTATTAAGAGAATGTCCTGGCTTTAGAACTATGGACACCTTTTAGGATGAAGGAGGAGCATGTCCGCAACTGACTCCCAAAAGGGTCAGAAGAAAATTACACGCACACACACACACACGCACACACACACACACACGAGTACACACACACACACGAGTACACACACAAAGTAAAAGTAATAAGATGTGAACATTCGAGGAATCTGGGTGTGAGCAAAAAGAATTATCTCTATCCTCCGCTGCTGCCTTGGCTGTCTTATCTGAAATTGCCCGGAGAAGTGGAGGAGGTGAAGACGCTGAGGAGGAGCCCCGCCCCAGGCCAGCTTTCCCTCCGCCATCCAGCCTCCTAAGCAGGGAGCGGCTCCTCAGCTGGCATCAGCTGGGCCCACAGAAACTGGCTCCAGGCGGAGGCGATGCCATGGTACTTTGCTGAGCCTCCGGAGGAGGAAACTCCAGCCACTCCGACCAAAGGCTCTGACTCCCAGCACTCCCCGTCCAGAGGCTCCCAGGTCCTGCCTGGGCCCATTGGCTCTGTGCCAGGCTGGCCCGCGGCCCTCCTGCGTCTCAGTCTCCTTGTGCACTCAGGAGCCTGGGCACGGCCCAGCCCCTTCCTTTCCGGGAGGCCTGCTTTGCAGGGAACTCGATTCCATGGCGGGGTGGGGTCCCCAGGCCAGGCCCCGCCCCAGCCCTCCGAGCCGCCCTTCCTGGAGGGCAGGCCGGTGCCTGCAGACCACTTCCACTTGTGATTCAGCGCAGGAGGCCCCCCTTCCGATCTCCACCCTCACGCAGAAGGGCAGGATCACAGGTATAAAGCACTCCCCACACCTGGCTCTGGGCCAGCGACAGCACTGGGCTATCGATGCCATGGTCCAAACGCATCTTCCTTCATTGATCCCTTGAACAGTGACGGAGCAGCTACCCTGTGCCAAGCCCCAGAGTTCTGAGACAGGGAGGGGGACAGTCATGAGGGGACCGGGCTAAGGCTGGACAGTGGGAGGAGAGGCCCAGGGAGAGGCCATAGTGGCAGCTGTCTCTCGCTGGGTAGGGGCCGTGCAGGCCTTGGTCTCCCTGTCTCTCCCTTCCTCCCCTTCAGGGTCCCAGGACGGAGAGGGATTCAGGAGACTGGGCACACGTCCTGTTCCGGTCCCTGACTGCAGGGTGACCTGGCCTGGCCCTTCCCTGTCTGCACCTTGGGTGCTTCCTGGGGACAAGGGATGCCCCATCCTGAGGACTCCCAAGGGTTCTAAGGCCAAAGCCATGGGATTGTGTCTGGAGTGTGTCTGAACACGTGGCTTCAGAGGCCCCTGCCTTGTTCTTTGCCAGTTTCGTTATCACTGACGCACACCTGGAAAAACATGAGCTGGGCCCTGGCCTCTCAAGTGACTCAGCAGGCGCAGTTCCTCCTGTTAGACACACTCGGGGCAGGGGGTGGGGGTGGGGCGGGCACGGTGGCTCACGCCTGTTATCCCAGCACTTTGGGAGGCTGAGGCAGTTGGATCATGAGGTCAGGAGTTCAAGACCAGTCTGGCCAACATCATGAAACCTCATCTCTACTAAAAATACAAAAATTAGCCAGGGGTGGCGGCACGAGTCTGTAATCCCAGCTACCCGGGAGGCTGAGGCAGGAGAATCGCTTGAACCCGAGAGGCGGAGGTTGTGGTGAGCTGAGTTCGTGACATTGCACTCCAGCCTAGGCGACAATGCGAGACTCCGTCTCAAAAAAAATAGATAAATAGTGACTTCACAGGATTTATGACAGAGGCAATCAATCAAAAAAAGAAAAAATAGATGAATAAAAAATAAATAAACATGCAGGGGAAGGAAAGGGAGAAGTTTGGGAGAGTAGACCCCAGCCCCAGCCCCAGCCCCAGCCCCAGCCCCAGTCCCAGGAGGCCCGGAGGCGTAAAGGGAGGTGAGGGATAGGTGGGCGGGAGGGATGGGGTGGAGAAGTGGGTGGGGAGGGTGGGGTGGACTCACCGCCTCTCCCCGGGGCCTTGGCCTCCTCAGGCCCTGCTTTCTCCCAGCTCACAGAGGGCCTCATGGCCACAGTCCCGACCTGGTCCTGGCTGCCGCCACTTCCCGACAGCCCCACAGGCCCCCTCCCCCTGGGGGTCGGCTCCTCAGTGGTCATGGCAGGGAGGTTCTCCATGACCCGTGGAGGCTTCACATGCCTGGCCCTGTGGACAGAAGGGGTGTGGTCAGCAGAGGCGGCCCCTCCAGGACCAGCACGGAGGTCATGGCCAGGGCTGGGGTCCAGGCGTTACAGAGTGCCTGCGCCTCTCAGACCCAGGGGGGCCCTCACCGCAGCAGGTGGCCACACCCTGTGCTGCGGCTGCGATCCCCACCACTGCGGGGCCTCCTCTTGCTGGTTTTCTGCCTGGAGGCCCGTTCCCCATCGAGGCAGAGCCCCTGGGTACCTCGGGCCCCTCCTCAGGAGTGGGTCACTGCCTCTCTCCTGGGCCATCACGCCTGACAGATCCTGCTCCAGGAGTCGGGGCTCAGTGGCCTGTCAGAAGGCACAGAAAGAGGGACACAGAGTCCCCCTTCAGGTGTCACGTGCAGGTGAGGGGCCATGGGACCAGCAGCCTGGGCCAGGGCTGAGGCATGCAGGGGACAGATCCCAGCTGCGGCCACAGAGACAGGGTCAGTCACGTCCTCCTCAGCTCTGGCCTTGGGCAGAGGGGCTGATGAGAGGAGGCAATGGCAAGAGTGTAGTCAAGACACCTGCTGAGCCCGCAGGGAGGGCCCAGTCACGTGGGGATCCCTGGTCCCTGACTGTGGGTGGGGAAGGGTCAACCGTGCCCCACAGAACGCCATGGACTGGGCAGTTTTCAGGCCCAGAGCCTCGGGGAGCGATGGGGATGCAGAGGAAGGGGAGGGGCTGTGTCCGCGCCTAGGGTGGGGTGACCGGCCTCTCCGCTGCTGCCCCTGCGTGGTGAAGATGTGAGGTGGGGAGCACTAAGCCAGCTTTCCTTCAGCACCCTGCCCCTGTGAGACTTCTGAGCAAACACTGGGACACACTTTCCAGCGTGTGGACTTGTCCCCTTGTCCCCGGCAGCGGGCAAAAATCCCCTCTGCAGGCAGGGCACAGAGAACCTGGGCAGCCATGCCTCGGACCTCTGTTTGGGGCAAAAATGCAAGTCTGGCCTCCTGCTGTCCCACTGCCCTTTTTGTGGTGGACGCCAGGGTCAGGGCACCCAGGCTCGGCAGGGCCTCCGTCCGGGCCTCAGAGCCCCAATGGGCCCCTCAGGCTGGGGCCTGCCAGCTGCCAGGACGCCCCCCAGAGCCTCCCGTCCCTGTCCCCATCTCCATCTCCACCCTGGTTTCTGGGCAGGGAAGTGGCAGGGGACTGGGAGGCAAACCAGGCAGCTGTTGGGGGCTCGTGGGGTCTGCTGTCAGGGACGCAGGACGCGGCTGTGGGGGGAGGCAGGAGGCCCAGGGTGTGGAGCACTTGGGAAGGGCAGAGAGGCACCCCTGGGGCTTGAAGCCGGGAACAGGGGACAAGTCCACGTGCTGTCAAGTCCATCCCAGCGTCTGCTCAGAATGTCTTGCAGGGGCAGGGCGATTGGAGGCGGGGGCTACCAGGGACACTGGGCTGATTTCTTCGCCACCTCAAATTTTTACTAAACAGGGGCAGCTGAGCATGCCTTAGACAACAGCAGGGCTCAGCATATGGCAAGCACAGATGGAGCCCAGTTTCCTTCCCCAGCACCCCCAGTACCGCCCCCACACCCTGAGGCTCTGAGCTTGAAAACCCAGAGGCGGTCAAGACTGACCTCAGCATGGCCCCAGGACAGTGGGTGCCAACAGGCACACCTCCCAGTGCCCAGCAACCCCCAGGGAAGGCCTACCTCCCCAGAGCACAGATGGGGAAACCGAGGCTCTGAGGGGTTAGGCAACTCTCTCACCTGTGCAGGTGCGCACGCACACACACACACACACACACACACACACACACACACGCGCGCGCGCCCCTGTCAGACCCAAACAAGCACACACTGCAGCTGCCATCCCTGCTGCCTGCTCCCCACCCTTGAGTGCCTCCTCCATCCCAGCACTGCTCTTGGCTCGGGCCACCACTGCGGCGACGGGCCCCTTCACAGAGGCTGCTCCCCAAGAGGCAGCTCCCCCATGACATTTAGTACAGGATGAGGAAACCCTCGTGGGGGGCAGGTCAGTGGCAGGCAGGGACGGGTGGGTGTCATGCAAGCCCAGCCATCACCCCTGCCCCCACGGACGTGGCTTTCACCCCGAGAAATGGCCTCCCAGACCCCAGCTCACCGCACACTTTGGGCTCCATCAGCAGAGCAGGGGTGGGAGGAGCCCACGGCCTCAAGTCTTTGGTTTCAACAACCACCACCCACTCCTGCACCGTGCCAGCTCTGAGCGAGGCAGTGGGAACACAGAGGGAGGAAGACCCAGGCCTGCTCAGTGGGGAATTTAGACACAGAATAGTGATGGTTCCGTGACGCAGGTTCTATGAGGCATAGAAAGGGTCCCCTAGCTCTGGCGGGGGCGGGAATCCCACAGTCAGGGAAGGCTCCCTGGAGACGCTCAGAGTGCAGGACCTCAGTGGGACCAGCCCCAGGCCAGCAAGGCTTGCCCAGGCAACAGCTCCTGGCTGTGAAGTGGCCTTGGCACACCCCCTCCCACCTCACACCTGCTCCAGCTGGAACCTGATTGGTCAGTCTACGGCCAAATCCTTCCCACTCCCCAACCACCTCTGAGGGACAGCGACCCGGACCTGCACCTGCGGGAACCAGGGGCTGTGAATCGGGAGAACTCTGATGCCAAGAAGCACCCAAGAGGCCCTCCAGGGAAGCTGCTCCCCCTGGAGCCGGAGTAGGGTGCAGCCCTCCAGACCTGCTCTCCCTGGAGCCGGAGTAGGGTGCAGCCCTCGAGACCTGCTCTCCAAAGGAGGAAGCACACGCAGAGCTGCACAAGCAGAACACGGTCTCTCAGTGGACGCCCCAGGGGGCATCTATAAGTGATCACATGCCCTGTGCAGCCTGGGGCCTTTGCCCTCCCTGTTCCCATGTCCTGGGACCCTGGTCATGCCTGGAGAGCTCTGGGCACCGTTAGGGGCAGTGCAGGACGCCACGGCCGCCCTGGCCCAGGCTCAGACTTTGCTTTCTCCCCCTTGCTTTGCCAGACTGCAGTTCCTGTGGCTGCACGTGCCACCGCGTGGCCCCGGGTCTGTGGCGGCACCAGGAAGCCCTGGCCTGCGAGGCCAGCTGTCTTCCTGTCTCCTTTCCGGAAGCACACAGAGGCAGCTCAACAAAGCGCTGGAATCCACTCCCTGGACGTGCCAGCTTCCTGGTTTATGGGGCCTTTAGCTCCCAACACCTGACCTTGGGGTCCTCGTCCTCCAGTCTCTGCCTCTTTGCCCCTCAGGAGCCAGGTCAGTGTCCCTGTAGGTGGAGCAGGGGTCCCAGCAGACTCTCGCCATCCACTGCCACCTGCCTGCCTCCCAGCCATGGGTGTTAGGAACAGGCCTATTGGAAACGCATGCAGGGTTTCTATGGACCTGGGAAGAGCTGCCGATCAGAGACTGTCTCCCGGGGAAAAGAGGGCTCCCCAGGCTCAGGGAATTTCCCTTCTGTTGTTACAACCCTCAGCGTGGGGTTCCTGCATAAAGCCTGGCGATGAGGAAGTGAGCTCCATCTCCCCAGCTCCCCCTCCCTCAGCCCTGCAGGCCCCGCCACAGCTGCACAAGCAGAGCCCCAGCCACGGGCAGGTGTTGGCTCTCCCACGGGCCAGCTTGCTGGGCTGGGGGACCACCAAGCAGCCTGCAGGACTCTCCTTCCCACCTTTATCCTGTTTGTTCAGTTTATCATCGGGACAGACCCTTGGGGGGCCCTGGATGGGTCAGAACAGGCTCCAGCCCCAGGCCAGCCTCCAGCCCTGGGGGAAGGGACGGAGTTTGGCTCCAGAACATGGAGACGTGGGGCCAAGCCCCAGTGTCTGGGAGGCCTCTCCATCCTCAGTTTACTGAGCCAGAAAATGCCAGTGACAATACACGCTGCGAAAATGGGTCAGGTGGGTCATAGGGACAGTGCTTCTGGCCCACAGCCAGGGCCCCGTGAATCTGGATTGGAAGGAGGAAGGGGCCCCCAGCCAGCCCTGAATGGGTTCGGGAAGCTTTGGCCAAGCCTCTGCCAGGCTCTTACTGAAGAAACACTCTTACGGCCCTTGAGACCTGACCTATGCCACCAAGCACCTCTGGAGGGTGGGCTTGTCACTTTGAATCCTGCGGTAACACTGTCCTTTCAAAATTCATGCCCACAGGAACCTCAGAATGGGGTCTTATTAGGAAATGATCTGTGCAGATGACGTTAACTTCCGTTAAGATGAGGGTGTTCCAGAAGACATGGGCCCTAAATCCAGGCCTGGCTTCCCTGTGAGTAAAATAGAGGACATGGAGGCACGCCGAGAAGCCTGGGAGGAGGCCATGTGACCAACGGGACGAGGGTGGAGTGATGCAAATCACAGCCAAAGAGTGCGGGGAGCCACAGGGAGAGGGAAGAGGCAGGGAGGAGCCGCCCAGGCGCATTCCGAGAAATGCCTTGAGATCGGAATCCTGACCTCGACCTCGGGGCTGCGAGAACCCGCCGGAGAGGGCACTGCCATGCCCTCTGGCAGCCAGGGAACCCGGCGCCCCACGCTCTCCTGGCCTGCCTCTCTCTAGTGTGCGGTGCGGCCATCCTCCCCCATGTCGCTGAAAGAGCAAGTGATGTCTTCATGGGTAAAAAGCTGCCCAACGCCCATCACAGGACATAGTTGTCATTACTGTCAACAGCGGTGTTGACAGTCACATAGTTACAGCCGTGCAGGGTGCTCACAGCGTCCTCAGCTCACCTGGAGGAGGGAGGCACCACCGTGTTCCTTTCACAGATGAGCCATCAGCTTCTGTGACTCTGCCTGCCCACGGTCACACAGCCCAGTGGCACAGGTGGGGCTGAACCCGGGCGGTCTAAGCCCGGCCCCCACCTACCCATCCTAAACCTAGACACCCTAATTCAGCCCGCTGCCTGGCATTGGGAGGCCACACACACCCCGAGTGGCTGGCCCACATGCAGGCTGCCCCTGGCCCTGGCACTGGCCGGCACCACTGACTCCCCCCAGCGTCACTCTGCTATTCATCTCATCTGAGCCTCGGCAACAGCAAAAGTTTGGAAACTCCCGCTTCACAGACAGGGCAGGGCTCCTGGGACTCCTGGGGGGCCACACCCAGGCTCAGAGGGGTCTTGGCAGTGTACACACACAGGACCATGCACCCTGGCACACCTACAGTTGAAAGCTGTGCCCAGGTCCTCCCTTGAATTTTCAGGCTGGCGCCCCTGTCGCTGGTCCACTAGGTTGTTGGAAAAGAGACCCAGGGGGCGGCATCAGAGAGGCCAGTTACGGCCGCCACAGTGCCGGGTGAGGCTCAGAGGCGCTGGGCTCACCCTGGTGGGTCTGGCAGCGTGGGCCCAGCCTATCCGGGGCTGGGGGTCACACCTGAGACCCGCTACGCCCGGAATCCCTGTCACTGGCTCTGCTCCCAGACCCCCAGGGCTGCTCACGCCAAGGGTCAGCATGGGGTCAGGCCAGTCCCAGAAGCCAGGGTGCTTTGTCAAAGCTGAGATTGCCCACAATCACTGCGGACTAGCACTGCCAGCACCTGTGAGCTCGAGTGGGTCCGCGGAGGGCGCCCACGAACTCCCCTAGGCCCCCGGCTCGAAGTTTTGCTCCACCCCAATCCCAAACAGGTCAGAAAAGTCCTCAAGAAAGTGTAAAGATTCAACCACGGCAAAGACCCGCAGACAGCAGGCTGCCCGGCCGGTCCACACCCCGCGTGCCCCGGAGCCCCCCGTACCTGCGCTCTGCTCCTCAGAGGCAGCTCCCAGGCCCACAGGGCCGTAGCTCGCAAGCGCCAGGTGGCCGCTCCTGGCCCAGCGCTGGCTGGCCCCACGGGGCTGTCTCCAGCTGGACGGAGCAGGCAGGGGCCGCCCACAGCCAGGCTGACTGCACAGCGGCCTCCGCCCCCTGCTTCCTGCCCTACTTCCTCCCTGCGCCTGGGGGCCAGTGACGGAGACACAGGCCCAGGGCGGCTGCACAGACACCGCAGCCGGTTGATCATTAGCTCTTTCCTGGACCGGCTCCAGGCCCTGCCCTGTCCGCCCGCTGCCCAGCCCCCAGGCTCTGTAGTAGAGGCCTGGGCACCCAGTCCCCGGCCAGGCTGGGATTGGGGAAGTCCACCAGCCACCCACCCTCCAGCCCTGCCAACCTCAGCTCTGCTCTGTTCCTCTTCCACTTACTGCGCACACACGCACGCACACACATACAAACACACACGTTCATGCACACAGACTCACAAGCACATGTGTGTGCACACATGGACAGGCACACAGATGCACACAAACGCTCATGCACACTTCCCTCGCCTCTGCCCCAGGTGCTGTCCAGGGCACTGGCTCCACCAATGAGAATATTTAGGGGAAGAGATGGGCCCTCCTCCTCCTCACTGCAAGCGCTCCTTCTGGAATCTGGCCTGTCCCAGCGGGTCTAGCTCTTTACCTTCCCACTGGCTCTAGGTCTGAGCCAGGTTTGAGAGCAGAAACCTTCCTGGCCAGGTACACCCAAAGCCAAGGCATGGAATCTCGCCCCTGTCCGCTCAGGGAGCCTGGACTGTACTCACGTCAGCTCAGACAAGAGGCAGAACTGAGCTCAGGTTGGCCCGTGGGCCCTGCCTGTCTGCCTGCTCTGATGCCCTTGCCAACACAGGTGTAGGCACCCATGTGGTGGGTGTGGGCTACTGGCTCCGGCCAGCTCTAGGAAGAGGGAGTGGGAGGGATCCCTCCACCCTGCGATTTACACTCACCTGGTTTTATGAAAGCAGGAAAATCCTCAAGTTAAATAGTAAGGTGTCCATCTCACAGACAGGAAAACTAAGGCTCAGGGAGGTCATGTGGCATGCCCAAGGCCAGTGACCAACTAGAAGGTAAGCCTGGAACCAGGTCCCACTGGTTCTCAAGCCTTTAGGGCTGGGGTTTTCAAGCTTGGCACTACCAACATTTGGGGCCGCATCCATCTTAGTCGAGGGGGCAGGGCTGTTCCGTGCACTGGAGGGTTTTAGCTGGTCCTTGGCCTCCACCCGTGGGATGCCAGTAGCCCCTCCTCCAGTCCTGACAGTCAAACATAGCTTAGATATTGATCCCCTGGGCGTGAAGTCGCCCCGGGCTAAGAACTCCCACCCCAGGTGAGCTACTCAGGTCAAAGCCACTCCCAGCCCATGCCCGCATCCTTCGTCCTCAGCTCCCGCCCCGTTCACCTTTCTTTAATAGCAGACTCTGCCCGGGGCAGTCCCTTGCCTCAGCTCCCTGCACAGCAAGCCCTAAGGTTGCACCCTCCCTCCTCCCTACCGAGGCCAGGGGCCCAGGACGAGGGTGCAACTGCAGATGCCCCAGGCGTGTCCCCTTGCTGCCCCAAAAGGGCCCCAAGGAGGGTCCATGGGAGGCCCAACCCCCTTAGGGGCCAGGCAGGCCCAGCCTCCAGGCTCCCCAGCCTGGCCTGGCCTGGCCAGACCCCACCTTCCATGCCACCAACATGCTTGGTGATCACACAATGGTGGGGGCGGGGAGAGGAAGTTCAGAGGCACAAAGGGACACTTTCAGAGAGTCTCCAGTGACAGCAGTCTGAAAGTCTGACCCATAGGCAGAGGAGCAGCAGCTCCCACACCAGCTCTTCCTCCCTGTGGGGACACGGCTCCCCGGCCTGGCCTGTATCTGAGGAGGAAAACGGTGGCCTCTTCAGCCCCATTGAAGGGCAGCTCTGGTGGCCACTCTGTCAGTTTTCTGGGGCTGCCACATCCAAGTGCCACACACTGGGGACTCCAGACCGCAGAAGTGTCATCTCTGACAGTTCTGGAGGCTGAAAGTCCGCAGTCAAGCTATGGGGAGGACCACGCTCCCCCCAGGGACTCCAGGCGGCCTCGAGGCCCGCTCCAGCCTCCCTCCAGGGACTCCAGGCGGCCTCGAGGCCCGCTCCAGCCTCCAGGGCTCCAGGCGTGATCTGGCTGGAGGTCACCTCGCTCCAGGCTCTGCCTCTGTCTCCGCCCAGCCTCCTCCTCTGTGTCTGCGTCTCCTCTCTCCTAAGCACCCTGTTGCTGGATTTGGGGTTCACCTAAATAACCCAAGATGATCTCACCTGGAGACCCTGGAGGAAATCACAGCTGCAAACTCCCTCATTCCAAAGGTCAGTTCAGGTTTAGGGTGGACGTACGTGTCACTGGATTTGGGGTCAGCTCGGTACTTAAGCTGTGAAGCAGGCCTGGGACAGTGTGGTTGGGAACATCGGTCCCCAAACACAGCCCCCTCAACCTCAGCCGCCTGCAGTCCCTCGAGCCTGGTGTCCTGCCAATCCCCTCCTTGGGCCTCGGGGGTGGATGGTACAAGGTCCGCCTTTCTTATACTTCCCTGCAGACAATTGCCGGCCCCATCTCCCACCTTCCCCCCAACACCAGAGCTCAACTTGCATCCTGTCGGCCCTGCCAGCTCCCTCCTCCTCTCCCGGCTCAGCCCTTGACTGGGTAATGTGTCCCCCTTCACAAAGCTCCCACTACCGAAGCCCAGAGCATCTGGGGAGCCAGATTCTCCTGGCACCTTCCCTGTAGAATGGGTGCAACTCTGGACACCCACCTCTCCTCTGTGTGGGCTGTCTTCCTGGGTGAGCAGCCACCCCCAAGGCATCTGCTGCCCCAGTGCCCAGAAGCTGTGGATGCCCATAGAAGCACCCAACATCACCCCCCAGGTCTTCCTCTCCCCACGCCCCCCCAGTGCCGCCTGCAGCCTCTGTGACCCCCTCCCCCACCCAGTGAGGCTTCTCCACTGAGATCCAATTCATCTCCAGCCTGGGCTCCACATGCAGGAACTGGGCAGGCTGAGGGTGCGCGCATCTGTCAACACAACCTCGTGGAGTGGTCACTTCCTCCCAGCAGCGCTGGGTGTCAGGCAGGTGGGGATGTGGGATTCTGTGGTCGTGCCCCGAGTCATCATAAGGATTAAATTAGTCTTGAGGACTTTTCCAAAACGCCAAGCGCAGGCGCACAGATCAGTCGCACTGAGATTCTGTGTGTGTGACATGGGGTCCTCTCCACGGCTTTGGCCCGGAAAGGAGCACAGAGGAGCTGTGCTCGAGGGGCAGGTGGGGAACAACCGACACCCCTGGGAGGTCAACACCTGCTACCGGTGCCCTGGCCGCGTCGCCCCGCCCTGGGATGGGGCTGCCTGTGCCTCTGCTTATATGTTGGAGCAAGGGGCTGTGCAGAGAAGTGGGGAGTGGGCCCGAGACCACCTGCGTCAACTTGCTGCCTGCCTGTGGCAGCTCCTCCTGCAGGCCTCAGTTTCCCGTCTATGACCTGACACTCAAAGCAGGTGTCCCCCCTTCTCCCGCCTGCTCACACCTCCGCCAATTCTCCAGAGTGGGCAGAACACGCTTCCTCTCCTAGCCAGAGATGCTTGGCTTAGCAAGTGTTTGTTTTTCTGGAAGCTGCGTTGAAAAAAACGCCCCCAGATGGGCTCCACCTCCACACACGGGTCTGGAGACATTTCCTCTCCTGGCCATTGTCCCCCGCTGTGGCTGGAGACCCAGTGTCCTGTTTGTCTCTGCAGCTGCACTTCTGACCCCAGGCGGGGGGGATTTTCCGAGAGCCTCCCCGACTGCACAGAGCACAGAGCATCCTGACGCCACACAGCACACCCAGCAGCCTCCCAGAGGAGGGGACCTGAGCCTTCATGGCTGCGGGCTTTCCAAGCACGCCCACCTGGAGGCTGCAGATGCTGGGGCAGAAGCACACAAGCCCTGCCTGCCAAACGGCCCGTCTGAACCCCAGCTCAGCCTTCAATTCTCCCAGCACAATCTGTCACTCCTCTGGGCCTCAGTCTCCCCATCTTGCAAATGGTAGAGTTAGGCTTGGAGATCTCTAAGCACCCTGCAGCTCAACAGTTCTGCTCCCTGATGTGGTTGTAATAAATTCAAATTGTCACTTGCCAAGAAGATGCTCAGTCCTTCAAGAGGATTGTCATCACGTGGGGCTTGCCAATGGCCCCACCAGCTTGAGTGTCTCCTGATGCCTGCTGGTGAGTGCCTCCTGATGCCCACTGGTCTGATTCACAGAGGGCCTAGAGGTGGCATGACCAGGCCAGGGCCACGCAGCTCCTATGTGGCAGAATCAGCCCAGATCCTAGTCCTTCCAGCGCCAAACCTGTGTTCCTCACCCCTCCCTCAACTGCCCTCTGGTGCTTTCTAAGGTTGAACAGCCAGAGACCAAGGCAGTGGTGCCCTCAATTCCTGGAAACCCCCAGGAGCAAGTCCTTCCCAAGAGTCTGGGTTTTCCAGGGAACCTAACACGCAGGCTTTCGAGCACCAAGCCCCAGGGTTAATCTTTGCGATGGTGCTCTAGAAAGCAGTGGCCCTCCTCTGTGCCTTTCCCTGATCTCTGGGACAGCTGGTGTTTGATTGAATTATAAGGCAAAGTGACCCATTGCCAGGTGAGGGGATAGTCTTAGAGCTTCTCCACCTCTCCACCTGCCTTTGATACCAGCCGGCTCCCCGTTTCTGGCCTGCTCCGGGCTGGGAAGCTGCTGAACAGGTACGTCAGAGTCAGAGTGGAGGGAAAACAAAACGAGCGAGAAACAAGCTCATTATCAGCAAGCGACTCCTGTCCCAGGTTTGGCGGCTCAGGAGTCTGGGCGGATGAGGTGCTGGGGACACAATTTCTAGCCAATGTAGAAGTGGCAGGCATGGCCACCACAGCCTGGGAAAAGCAAGCGTGGCTTCAGACTTTTCCTGTGACTGGCCTTGGTCGCTCAAAGAAGCTACCAGACCTGTTCCTACGTCCTTCATTCAGGAAAACCCAAACCTGGCCCACGTGTGACACAGCGGGTGTGAAGCCCCCAGCCACGCCCTTCAGCTGTGACTTTTTAGGGAAGCCCCTTTAATTATCCGTCTGGGAAGGTCCAGGACAGCTCCTGCCAAAGCCTCAGACACACCCTGAGTGCTGACCAGGCTCCCTGAGGCCGGGGATGCTGGGTGGGGAAGAGGGGGCCCTGCCTTCTACCTCCCACAGCCTCCAGCCCTGAAGGCTTAGGTTCCTCCCTCTGGGAGGCTGCTGGGTGTGCTGTGGCTGGTGGCTCTGTCTTTGCATTTTTCCTCCTGCAGCAAATGATGACAGCTGCAATTGTACAAAGGCATGGGCGGCTTCTGGCTTCATCACGCAGCCTCAGAGCCTACTCAGTTCTCAGCAGCAGTCACGAGTGAATCACCTCAGGCTCGGAAGGTGATCCGCACCTGCCCTACGCCAGCGGGGGGTCCCGGGACTCATCCCTCGAGGGGAACTGCACCTCTGCAGTTAGTCCCACTCCCCCACTCCAGGTAATGCTGCTTTTTGCGGTTTGGAGCCCCACCTGCCACTGGAGATGGCAGCACCCCCAATCCAGCTCTGCCTTCTGGGACCCCACCCATCCCATGATTTGGCTGCTCACAGGAGGAGCTCACAGACAAGTTGGGGAAACCAACTGGGAGACAGACCAAGATGGCAAAGCATGTTCCACGTAGCAGCAAAGGGAGGCCTGGGAGGAAAGAGAGGAGGATGAAATTGAGGAAGCCTTCCTGAAAGAGGAGGCACCTGGACTCTGACTTGGGCTGAGACTTAGAGGGAGAGGAACCTGGGCTGAGACTTGGAGGGAGAGGAACCAGGCAAAGCGGGGGTGTAAAGGGCTTCTCAGGGGTCAGGGCCGGCTCAAACAACGGTGCTCCTGGCAGGCAGAGTGCTAAAATCTCCCACACCCACTTCAGGGGACTCTGGACTCTGGCAGCCAAGGAGAGGCCAGCACACCCTCACCCTGAGGGGTTAATCTACAACTGCCATAAAGTGACTCTCAGGAATGCAGGGACCTGGGGGCTTCAGGCTGCCTCAGCAGGCTGCTGGCTCTCCCATTGGCCCTGTCCAGCAGAAACAGGCTCACGGGAGCCTCCAAGGACTCGGGAGGCAAAGGCACTCTGGGCAGGGCCAGGGGGAAGCGTGTTTGGCTTTGCCAGCCATCAGGTGTGTCACAACCCTGCCCTTAACAGCAGCAAAGCAGACAGACAGCAATAAGTGAACGGGTGTGGCCACGTGCCAATAAAACTTTACCTATCATACAAGACAGGGGGCCAGATCTGGTCAAGTGTGGTTTGTGGACCACAGAACCGAGGCCGTCTTGTGCTGCGAAACAGGCTCGGGACGTGGTGCATCACTGGTGGCCTCGCTTCGCTGCTCCACCCTGGTCACACCTGCAACCACGCAAACCTGTGCACAGAGAAGCCACTCACCAGGTAGCATCTTCAGAGTGGAGGAGAAGACAGCAAAGACAGCGGCTGGTAACAAGACTGTAATTTATAACCTCGGAAGTACCTTTACCCAAGGTCACAGGAAGGACAGTTCCTGGTGATTCCATGGCGCTTACATTTCAAAGGTCACTCAGGGCCGGGCACAGTGGCTCATGCCTGTAATCCCAGCACTTTGGGAGGCCGAGGTGGGCGGATCACTTGAGGTCAGGAGTTTGAGACCAGCCTGCCCAACAATGGTGAAGCCCTGTCTCTACTAAACGAAAGTACAAAAATTAGCTGGGTGTGGTGGTGTTTGCCTGTAATCCCAGATACTTGGGAGGCAGAGGGGAAAGAATCACTTGAATTTGGGAGGCAGAGATTGCAGTGAGCTGATATCTCGCCATTGCACTCCAGCCTGGGTAACAGAGCAAGGCTCCATCTCAAAAATAATAATAAAAAAATAAATAAATAGGCTGGCGAGGTGACTCACACCTGTAATCCCAGCACTTTGGGACACTGAAGCAGGTGGATCACAAGATCAGAGGTTCGAGACCCGCCTGGCCAAGATAGTGAAACCCTATCTCTACTACAAATACAAAAATTAGCCGGGCATGCTGGCAAGCACCTCTAATCCCAGCTACCTGGGCGGTTGAGGCAGGAGAATCGCTTGAACTCGGGAGGCAGAGGTTGCAGTGAGCCAAGATCACACCACTGCACTCCAGCCTGGGAGACAGAACGAGACTCCGTCTCAAAAACAAACAAATAAGTGCTCATTTCAGCAGCACATATACTAAAATTGGAACGACACAGAGATTAGCATGGCCCCTGCATGAGGATGACACGCAAATTCGTGAAGCATTTCATATTTTATTTTAAAAAATAAATTAAATAAATAAATAATAAGGAAGGAAAGGAAAGAAAGAGAGAGAGAAAGAAGAAAGGAAAGAAAGAAAGAAAAGAAAGAAAAGAAAGAAAGAAAGAAGGAAGAAGGAAGGAAGGAAGGAAGGAAGGAAGGAAGGAAGGAAGGAAGGAAGGAAGGAAGGAAGGAAAGAAAGGGAGGGAAGGAAGGAAGGAAGGAAGGAAGGAAGGAAGGAAGGAGACATCTCCTGCCCCTGGAGAGCCCCGCTTCACACTGAGCAGCCCCGTCATCTTTCCCGGCCTCTCATTCCTCCCGTGTAAAACAATGTCTCTCCTGTGTTCTGCAGAAACACAAACAAGCTAAGATGCCCACACACCTCCCAAGGCCTTCCCAAGCCCGACTCAGACCCGAGGACCAGAGGGAAGGACCGGCACAAATCTCTCCTGAGATTCCTTCCCGAGTTGGTTCCTCCATGAACCCAAGTTGGAGGCCAGGCATATCCGGGCCGGTGTGCTAAGCTGCTAGCCCGGAGCCCCATCGCAGCGGGTGCTGGATGGCAGCGTCATGAGTCATCCCCCAGAAAGGGCTAGGATGGTGCCGCACTCAGCCGTGCTCAGACCATGTGTTATTTCTGGCCTTTGCTGCTGAAACCGATCCCTGATCAGATGAGCAGAGCTCCAGGCCCTGAGATTTCAGGAACTGCTCTTTGCAAAACAGGGACACAGGGCTCCTTGGCTTTCCAGATGACTGATGGCCACCCCGGCCGGATGGGTGGCAGGGCCACCGGGTCGGAGCCTGCAGGAAGTGGTCAGCAGTTCTCCTGCCTGGGCTGAAACTGAAGACACCCACCCCCAACTGGCCGGAATGTCCTGCTCTGTTCGGCCGGCGTCACCCTGGAGCCCAGGGAATTGCTGATGCTGCGGCCCAGCAGGTCCACAGTCCTTCCTCCTCCCTGGGCCAGCCTGGCCTTCTGACCAGGTGCCCAAGACCACTTAGCACAGCGCTCCTCACCTGGGGGTGGTGAGGGAGGCAAGCTGCTTCCCCAGCGGAGCTTTCGGAAGAGGGACCTTCCTTTCTTGGAGGAAGCTGACCAGAGCGCCCTCCCTACCTCCCTCAGGCCCCCATGGCAGCCCCTCAGCTCCTGCCAGCATCTCTGCCTTTAACACCATGAGGAACAGAGGTGTGGGGAGGCGAGGAGCACAGAGCCAGGGCTGGGCAGTGGCTCACGCCTGCAATCTGAGCACTTTAGGAGACCGAGGCAGGAGGATCGCCTGAGTCCAGGAGTTGGACACGAGCCTGGGCAACATGGCAAAACCCTGTCTCTACAAAAAATACAAAAAATTAGCTGGGCATGGCTGTACATGCCCATAGCCCCAGCTGCTCGGGAGGGTGAGGTGGGAGCATTGCTTGAGCCCAGGAGATGGAGGCTGAAGTGAGCAGCAGCCGCACCACGGCACTTCAGCCAGGGCTACAGAGCCGGGTTCTGTCTCCAAAAAACATCCCAGAGCCAGAAGAGACCGAGTCTCAGAAACACACTGGTGGACCAGCCGGCTGGCGCGGTGCGGGTGACCCAGCGAGGGTGCACAGACGAGAAGGCCCCAGGAGAGGGCACGTGGCAGGGGCCGTGAGGAGGGCATTCTCCCAGGAGTCTGGGGACACAGATCCCAGCTTACAGATGAGTCCCCAGGACCCCGACTCCATAGGCCCGAACTCCTCAGAGCCCCAATTTTCCCGACTCAGGGGTGGGGCCCAGCTGAAATTCCCAGCATTCTGCAGAGCCTGAAGGTCAGGGGTTGATCCTGACCTTGGCTTACACAAACATTAAGGCAGCCGGGGCACACACTCCCCCAGCTCCTCCTAAGGAGTGAATCCTCCCAGCTGGGACCCATCTCCGGGAAGCTCTAGGCTCCAAGGCTGCCATCACTGCAGGCGGAGGGGAGGAGGGCCCTGAGGGGGATTCCTGCAGGCCCCCTGTGGCTCACCTGGACTGGGCCAGATGTCACAGGGAGGAGGGTGGGGGGGTGAGGGGGGTAGGCTGGCAATTGCAGGCACCTGCAGCCAGGCTGGGACAGCCCCATTACACTGCCTGGCCACCTCCCCAAAAACCTCAAGTGCTGTTTTCCACGCCCCACTTCCTGGCCTCGAATCGATGTGCCCCCATGCTCCCCAAAACCACCCATGCGCAGGTCACCAGGCTTTCCACGTGGCCAAGCCCAGCAGTCCCTTCCCGGCTGCCTCTTCCTTGCCTCTCAGGGCCACTGGTCCGCCCGAGAACCTCACCCTTTGGGCACCTTCTCCCGCCTCCCAGCCTCCTCCTCCCTCACAGTCACGCCTTCTCCAAGGGCCACACTCTGTGTGGGGAGCTCATGCCAGCGGGGACTTCAGAGTCATCTGCCTTTGCTGAGGTCCCCAGGCTCCAGCTCAGACTGAAGGCCCGTGCCAGTGCCACCGTCTGCCTCTCTGTTGGCCGGTAGCCAGTCCAGACACCACCTGTCCGAACTGGACACGTACTGCCCCTCCCCTGCCCTGCGTCTTAGTAGACGGCACCACAAGGCACTTGGCACATGACCCCTCTCTTTCCCCACCTGTCTATATCCAAGCCACCCTTGCCAGCCTCACTCTGCCCTCCCCTACCCCACCCCACCCCACATCGGGCTCTGACCACCCTGTGCTGTCCCACACCCCCACCGCCTGCCCGGAATCTGCACCCCGGTGCTTCCTGCCGCCCCTTCTCCCCCAGCTGTCACTTCGGTGCTTTGCCTCCTCAGAGAGGCTTACCCTGGCCACCAGCCCGGCCAGTCCTTGCCCTGGGCCCCAGAGAGCCTGAGCACACTCCACCCGTCCTGGGACCGGGGCCATCATCCAGCACCGCCACTGTCGGCTCCTCCAGGGAGGGCACTGGCCGGCCTTGCTCTCTGTGGCCCCCATGCCCAGCACCGCTCCACACTCTGCAAGCGTTTGCTGAATGACTAACAAACCAAGTGCTAGTGACAGGGGGCTGGGCTGTTCAAGCCAGGTGGGAGCCAACAGCCCCATGAATTCTGAGATGGTTCACCTCTGCCAGACGTGCGGGAGGGGACAGAGCCCAGTCAGGTGCACTTCTGCTGTGGCAAAGCTGTGTGGGCAGCTGGTGGGAGGGAACCACCGGCTTGGAGCGGGCATGGGCTTGCCCCAGGTGGGGCTCGAGCTCTCCTACCTCATGTGGCGAGCCACATGTCCCCAGTGAGCAGCACCCGGCAGGATCTGGTCACACCCTGGCTGCACCTCCCCCGGGACACTGGAGAGACAGGGAGGGGTGCCTCATGACAGGTGTCCAGTGCAGGCTCCAGGCAGCAGCCCCTTGTTGGGCCAGTGTCCACAGCTGCTGCCTCACGTGGCTGCTGACCAGCTGGGGTGTCTCCCAGGCAGCGTCACAGGGGCATGGCCCACCACTTTGGTGCCCAGCCAGGTGTGGGTCCCAGGGTCTCCCCTCACTTGCTGCAGGATGGACACACGCTTCACCTCCTCTACCCTGGCAGAGCCCTTCCCTGTTCACCAAGGGTGGCACAGTGGTCCAGGTACCACACAGTGGGTACGGAGCGACTCCCCCACTGGCAAGCACAGAACATGTCTGGGCTGCAACCCAATGACGGACAGCAGATTCTGAAGCCTGGGTTTGAAGCCCCTGGGGGAGCTGCTATATGGGCGCTGCCCAGGCCCAGCACCTGACAGCACAGAGCAGGGCTCCACAAAGGCGAGCAGTCGTAGTCCTTACTATTCAGCAGGACAGGATCCGCAGGAGGTATCGCCCAGGTCCAACCTGCCCGCCCGACCTGGCCCTGCCCCGCGCTCAGCACCCAGCATGAATCAGTCAGGTGCCTGCCACCCTCTAGAGACCCCAGCCTCAGCCTCATGGTGGAGACAGTCCAGGACCCAGATGGGACAGCTGGGCCAGAGCAGCCGTTGCAGAGGGGCCGGCAGCGGGGAGCACTGCACACCCCTAGTCCTGCCTGTAGACAGCTGGGGAGGCTGCCTGGAGGAGGCACTCTGCAGAGTATTTCCACACGTGAAATATTCGTGAAGTACATTCCCTGGCAGGAAATAAACACATTGGGCCTGGAGTGTCTCGTAGCACCAGGAATTACAGAAGTGCAGTCCATAGTTACATGAACAGTAGATCCCCAAAATGATGGAACCCTGACGAAGGGACACGGGCGTCAACTGAAAGAGTTCCCAGTGGCCAAAGCTGGGACAATGTGAGGAACAAAACACAGGTAAAGTGGGAGTAATGTCAACCCCAGATAGAAAACAAATGTGCAGAAGGCCCCATGGGCACAAATAAGTGGTGGGATAAGCCGGGTAAATGGGGGAGAAGAGACAGACCCCCAGGTGGAAGAATTCCAACCACCTTAGGTTGGGGCAGAGCATGAACCCCCCTCCTTTGGCGTAGGCTGCACATTGTGGCTTTCTTCCACAGAGGACAGTGTGGAAATGGGGAAACCCAACCAGCACCCATCAGTCAGGTGACCGCGGTCAATAGCACCAGTGACGAGGCCTGTTGACAGCAGGTGTCCTTGCTGTGATGTGAGCAGGAATGTGCTTTGATCTCATGGTCCTCCTCCCCCAAACCCACGGCCCCAGTCTAACATGAGAAACACATCGGACAAAGCCAACTGAACGTGTGGAGCAGGAGTGGCGCTGCGTGGCAGAGGGTATGAGTAAGAACATTAACTGTGCTTGGCAGTCAGGGAAAGCTTCCTGGAGGCAGTGGCATTTGAGCAGGGCCTTGAAGGATGGGAGGTGTCAGAGAGGGCAAGGGAAGTTCGGGCAGGAGTCCTGGGATGGGCAAAGGCACAGCGATCGGAGCTGCACAGGGGAGGGGGGGGGCAGAGGGCGAACAGAAGCCACGGTGAGGAGGGTCTTCACCGCCAGCCCCTGGCCCTGTCTTACCACGGAGGGGGCCGAGCTGCAGGACAGGGTAGCGGACCTCACCAGGCACCCCCGTTTGGTCAACAGGGATCAAAAGAGGACAAAGGCTCTCCAGGCCGGGCGTCTGAGCTCACGCCCAGGCAGTCTGCTGGGCTCTGTTGGGGCCTGACAGGGCTCCTGCCAAAGTGGGCCCCAGCCTCAGCCATCTCGGGTTTTAGACCCTAATCATGAACCTCAGGGCAGGCAGGAGAGGCCCAGGGGGTTTCCTCGACTGAAGCACACGCTCCTGTGGTTGCGGCAGGGGGCACGGGCAGGAAGTATTGCACAGACAGGAGAGACCCAAGCTTGGGCGGGCATGCCTCGGGGGGTCCTCGGGCCTCTGCAGCTTCACTGCCCACCCCGCACTCCCTCAGAACAGGGGCTACCTGCACATCCCCACACGCAGCGCTCCACATGCAGAGGGCTTGCTTTCTCCCAGGGCTGCCTGGCAAACCCTTACTCATCCTTCCACGCCCCATTTGGCCACCACCTCTGCTGGGAGTCCTTCTGGGTGCTCTGGCTTGTGGGAGGGACCGGGGAGGAGGGGAGGAGATTACTTCTTCCTCTGCCCCCACCTCACTTGGGCGCTGCCATCTCCTGTCAGTGTGCTGTGACAATGCGCCTCCCATGTCCTCACCCAGTGCTGTGAGGATGGGGCTCAGCCCTCCCACCTCGGGGCCTGGCACATGGTAGGCACTTGGCCCTGGCCCCGTGCTCAGCATTCGACATGGATGAGTTCCCCAAATTCCAGACTCGCCTCTTGCTAACAGGGGGCCTTAGCTAAGCCGCTTCCCCGCAGTCACCCTATCCAAGTAATGGCACAACTGTCCTTGCCCCGTGGGATTGAGGTTAAAGTGTGGGCACAGAGGTACAGGGGCTCCCCGGAGAGAATGGCGCTGCTGTGCTCCGGACACCCACTACCACGCGCCAAGCACAATCTTGGCTGTTTTCACTCTTTCAAGCGGCTTTTTACTTTATTATTTATTATTATTTTTTATTTTGAGACGGAGTCTCGCTCTGTCACCGAGGTTGGAGTGCAATGGTGCGATCTTGGCTCACTGCAACCTCCACCTCCTGGGTTCAAGCAATTCTCATGCCTCATCCACTCGAGGAGCTGGGATTACAGACGTGAGACACCACGCCTGGCTTTTTAAAAGCGTTTTTTTTAATCTACACTTTTCATTTTAAAATTTTAGATGAAAAAGTTGGAAAGCCAGTGCAGAGCATTGGCATAAACTCCCCCCAGCCTGCCCCACAACGACCTGTCACATTCAATAAAACCACCTGGACCTGCTATTGTTACTCACAGTCCACACTGGACTTCCAGGTCCCCCTAGCATCTGTCTTCTGCCCCACCCAGGAGCTCGTGGGGGACACTGCCTGGCGTCTTTGGGTGCCTTTTGGCCGGGATGATTTTTCAGGTGTCCCTGTTTTCCTGACCTCAGCAGTTCTGGGGAGGACTGGCAGGTATCTTTGTGACTGTGCTTGCACTGGGGTTTGATGTTCCTTGGTCCCTTGACTTTTAATGTGCAATAAGCAAATGTGGGGGCTGGTCATGGCTTGGAGTCAGGCTGGCCCCAGCAGCTGTTCATTCAACGTCTTTAGAGAAGCTGACCGACCTCTGCTTCAAGCCCCAGAGGACAAGACTGGCAACACCACAGCAAAACAGCGAGGGCTTGGCGCGGATGGCTCCCGTCCATCGTCCTAAAACGTAGGAAATGTTGCTCAATCTCTCCCCTGCAGGGAGTACAAGAAGACCCCCAGGGACCCTGTGGCACCTCCTGCAGTGGCAGCACCCGGAATCCAGGGACACACCCTAGGCCGGCTGCAGGGAGCACAGTGCCAGTGAGACCGATCTGAGGGCCGATGACCAATGCTCATAAAGCCACGACGGTGCTGACGCTTTGCCCGGCAACCCCGCTCCTGGGAGCTTACCCTGCAGGTGACTGTCGACCTCTGAAATGGCATGGTACCAGGCTGTCCATACGGCTCATTTCTAACAGCAACGCCTTGGAAATAACCTGGGTGTCAGATAAATCACACTCCAGCCACACAACAGGTAGCCAGCAGCAGTGATACAGTACCGAGGCTTTCTCTGAGTATCAACGAGGAAAGACCCTTGAGACACGTTAAGCAGAATAAAAGCAAGATGCAGAGAGTCTGCTACATTTTATGTCTGAAAGTGGGGTTCCGATGCATTTGCATGTTTGCACTTGTGAAAGAAACCTTGGGGCCGGGCGCAGTGGCTCACGCCTGTAATCCCAGCACTTTGGGAGGCCGAGGCGGGTGGATCACGAGGTCAAGAGATCGAGACCATCCTGGTCAACATGGTGAAACTCCGTCTCTACTAAAACTACAAAAAAAAATCAGCTGGGCATGGTGGCACGTGCCTGTAATCCCAGCTACTCAGGAGGCTGAGGCAGGAGAATTGCCTGAACCCAGGAGGCGGAGGTTGCGGTGAGCCGAGATCGCGCCATTGCACTCCAGTCTGGGTAACAGGAGCAAAACTCCGTCTCAAAAAAAAAAAGAAACCTTGGGAGGATGAGTGCATTGGCAACAGTGGGGAGCTGGGTAGGTGGGGTACAGGGGAGTTCTCGGGGAGCTGGAGCTGTTCTGGATGACGCTGTGACCGTGGATGCCTGACTCCATTTCCCGAAATACACTGAGCTTGACGGCACCGGGAGCCTGAATGTATGCAAATTATATTTAAAATACTTAGGAGGACAGGGGAATCCCAGGATGAACGTGAAATGTGACAAAACAACCGTATCACAGTTGTATACGACAATCTCACTGAAGTGGGAGGAAGGAAGTTACACTGAGTCTGTGAAACTGAAGGCGGAAGGAGCCCACAGACTGCTGTGCTCCGGGCGGGCACAGTGGCTCACGCCTGTAATCCCTGCACTTTGGGAGGCTGAGGCCACAGGAGGATCACGTGAGCCCAGGGGTTCAAAACCAGCCTGAGCAACATGATGAAACCCTGTCTCTACAAAACATAGAAAATCGGCTGGGTGTGGTGGCATGTGCCTGTAGTCCCAGTACTCATGAGTCTAAGCCGGGAGGATCATTTAAGCCTGGGAGGTCGAGGCTGCAGAGAGCCATGCTCATCCCACTGCACTCCAGCCTGGGCAACAGAGCAATAGCCTGTCTCAAAAAATAAATCAATAAAGTTGCCTCCCGCAGGGGTGTGGGCCAGCCATTCTGATGCTTCTGTACATGTAGACTGGAACAGAACCGTTAAGTCAACAAATGGCTGATGGTGACAGCCAGCTCTCCCAGTGTTGGAGCGGGCAGCTCCAGATTGCCAGCGGGGAGGAGGCTGGAATCCACCGGCTCATAACAGATTTGAG